TTGATGCACTCAAGTGTGGCAGCGGTAGTGAGGTTGGCCCAGGATCGGACATTGTTTCGTTCTGCTGTGCATGGGGTCGCTATGAGTCGGTTCCGACTTGATGGCACCTGACAACAACAACAACCTCTCTGAGTATAGGTCAGGTTCATCAAACTGTAGCAATTTACCCTTGTTTCCTTTATTAAAAAAAAAATTTTTTTTTCAATCTTCCTCTAGTCGAGTTCTGATTATCGAGCCATCGAGGCTAGGTCAAAAGGGTACTGTCTGCAAGTTTGGGTGTTCTTGTGCATCTCACCTCATTTCATATTAGCTGGATGCTTCACTCTCAGCTCTAGCTCTCTGTGGCTATGTCCTTGTACATCGGCTAAGTGTTCTCAGTTCTCACCACACTTTGGACCAACCAGCCCTTCCTCGTCTCTCTCTCATCTCCAGGTCAACAGGATTCAATGGACTGTGGTTGAACTCAGCCCAGTTCTTCACTGATGCCTTTCCCCTCTTCCACTCACCAGTAGACCAATGTGGTCGCCAGCAACCTTACATGCTTGTTTGTGTGTTCCCTTTGAGTTTCAGTCTTAGAGGGGAGTTTGTCCTGAAGGCACTTCATTGCTAGCTAGCCTTGATGTCTTCCTGGTGAACAGCTTGCTTATTCTTGTAGTAGCCAGTCATGCTGACATTTTTGTTTTGTTTTTTTCCTGATGATCTTTCTTGAAAGATGTATCTTCTGTTGCTCTAGCTGTTCCAGGCTGGTCTGCTTGTCCTTGCTAGTGGGAATGTCCCACCTCATAAGGTTCTTGATGGGACTCAGGATTCCTTCCACCTAAAGTCCTGCCCGCTACAAAGGCTTTGTAAGAGGCCTATTTCACTGAGCAAGTTGTAGAACCCCTTTTAGGTATTCCAGTCAGTTATAGACTGAAGATAGGCTTACAAGTTTTCTGTAATCATGTTTCCCAACATTCCTTTCTATCCCACTCAAGTGTCTATTTTACAATAGTAGGCAAGGGAAACTAATATTCATAAGATAGTCAAGCATTTTAGTATTATTTCCCCTCTTCAAGCTATACCTAGATCCCTGTATCACAGAGTCCTGTATTTCCAAGGTTGAGCATGCATCACTATTTACCTCTGTCCCACTTAGGCCATGCAAACCTGTCTCAGTGTTCCCCTATCTATTTTTGCCTCCTCCCCCATTCTTGTATTGCCCTCCCCAACACCCAAACTAAACCCTCACCCCAACCCCATTGTGGTTACCTTATATTCCATTAATTCTTCCCTCCATTTAAGACAGTCTATTTATCCTGTAATCTACCTGACCTTCCCACCACCTGGATCTCTGTTCCTCTGTGTTTACCTTATTTCCTATTGTAATTGTTTTAATCATAGACTGACCTTCCAGATCCTCTGTTCCTATAATTTTATTCTGTTCTTGACTCTTCCATTTGTTGAGTTCAGGGTGATGCTGCCATGTACATCATTCTGTAGTTGTTGTCCGTTCTTGTTGGTTCTCAGTCCGCAGAACTTCCTTTAGGATGTTTTTCATAGCAGGGTTGGCTTTGGCAAAATCCCTTAGCTTCTGTTTATCCTATAATGTTTTGATTACACCATAGTATTTGATTGACAGCTTTGCTGGGTAGAGGATTCTTGGGTGGCAGTTTTTTTCTTTCAGGGTTTTATATGCCTCCCCATTGCCTTCTTGCCTGCATGGTTTCTGTTGAGAGATCAGAATTTAATCTGATTTGCTTGCCTTTGTATGTTACATTCTCTTTTCCCTAGCTGCTTTCAGGATTCTGTCCTTATCTTTGATTTTGGAGAGCTTGGTTATTATATGTCTTGGTGATTATCTTTTAGGGCCTATCCTTCCTGGGGTTCATTGAGCTTCTTGAATGCTTATCTTTTCACTTTTTAGGGTGTTAGGAAAATTTTCTTCCAGAAGCTCTTCAATCTCCTCTGTGGATTTGTCTGATTCTTCTTGTTCCAGAATGCCAATAATTCTTAAGTTATTTCTCTTCATGTTGTCCAACATGAATCTTAGGCCTTCTTCAGATTTTTTTAAATCCTTTTTTGTGTTTGTTCTTCTGTCTTAGTAGTGTTGAGAGATTTATCTTCTAGCTCACTAGTTCTGGCTTCTATCTCTTCAATTCTACTCTTTTGCCCTTTCAGTGTATTGTCCATTTCTGATCTTCTGTTATTAACCATCTGGACCTCTTTCTTTAGGTTTTGAATTGTTTCCAATGCTGTGTCTATCTTATTTGATTGTTCCTGTAGTGCTTTCCTGACTTCTTCCTTATTTTTCTCAACTCCATTGTATAGTGTTTTAACACATTTTATAATCATTTTTCTGAATTCCCTCTCAGGCATTTCCAAAGCCTGCCCATCTTCCAGTATGGAGTGTAGGTCTACTTCCAGCTCATTTGCCTCAGTCACTTTATCTCGTTTCTGGACATGTGCAGATATGGTCATCTGCTTCTGTTTTTTGGGCATATTCAGGAATTATCTGTGGCTTTAATACGTAGATGGTTGTGTATTTTGGTATTTTTTATGCTTTCTGATTGCCTTAGGTAGATGTGATCAGGAAATTGGCTTCCCTTTTCACTCTTCTTCCTGGGAAATTTCAAGATGCCACTGTTTGTCGTTTTGACGTAACTTAGGATTTAGTTTTTGTCCTATTTCCTTTTTAGTGTGCCTGTCCTACTCCACATTCCCCGTTCAGGCCTTTTTTCTAGTTATAAACAGCTCAGGGCCGGCTGTGGCCGTTTGGTTTTAAGTGGAAACTGTCTCTTTAAATTTTGAGGAGATCTGTGCACATGTGTAGTAGAACCCTCTGAGGGTGGGGCAGCGGTGTCTACTCGCTCAGGCACCCCTATGGAGGTGCACAGATAGCGAGGGACCAGTGAACAGATACCAATAAAAAAAGAATGTCCACAGCTTTATCTCCGCAGTTCTGTCAGGCGTCTGTGACTGCTCTGATCCTTCCCCGTCTTGGTCTCGTACAAGATGGTGGCTCTGGGAGCAGCTGAGTGTTTTTAATTAAAAAGCAATGGATTTCTTGCTTCTGCTACAAATTCCCCTAGCTGTAAGCCTTCCAACCTTCTAAATATTTGTTTATATGTGGTTCAGAGTTGTGGCACCAACCCCTGAACTTGCTTGGTCCTGTATTCTGTGTTGTTGCCAGAGGAGCTCCTCAGTGCACTTCTACCGAATCGCCATCTTGTTTGTTTTCCTTCCTGATTCTTTTTAACTTAATATAGAAATTACTTTTAGAGAACTAAACAGTTAGGAAAAGGGGGTCTATGATTTAAAATAGCATTGATCATAATGTTTACTTTGCACAAAGCCTAATGATTTATTATCCCTATATCCAACTCAATTCTTTACCCAGGAAAATATAGAGTTGTCAGAGGCATCATTTCTCCCGTGGGTGATGCATATAAGAAGAAAGGACTCATCCCTGCCCATCACCGGGTTATCATGGCCGAACTTGCCACTAAGAATTCAAAATGGGTGGAAGTTGACACGTGGGAAAGTCTTCAAAACGAGTGGATAGAGACTGCTAAAGTACTAAGGTATTTATCATGAGGTCAGCATCATCACTTCTACGGAAATGGGGTGGGGACCTCCTTGGCTTTTTGTCATGTTTCATTGCTGCTGTGTCTATGAACATAAAATCAGTTGCTGTGAAATCAACTATGACTCATTATGATCCCATGTGTGTCAGAGTTGAACTGGGCTCCAGAGGATTTTCAAGATCATCAGACCTTTCTTCCAAGGTACCTCTGGGTGAACTGCAGTCACCAGCCTTTTTAACATTAATAGTTTACTCCACCCAGGGGCTCCTCTGTGAACATACGGATTTGTAGAACCGTCACTATTGGACAGGCTTAGGTGGCCCTGTTCCTGTATAAGGTTATTATGAGGAAAATAAGAGCATGGGGTGTTCCTTAGCCTTTGTATCTTATGTTTTGAGATGTTTGCATGCTTGCTACCATGTGATCTCTCTGAGAACAGAGGAAGCCTGCATGGCCTGTCCATCTGTGCCCCGAGTAAGAAAGGAAAAGGTGTCATAGGATGTTACCCTCATCATTTTTTTAGGTTTAAAAGAGAAGTAGGACAGTTAGAGAAGAGTAGCATGATACTTGGCCACAGACAAACCTGCTTTTGTTACTGCTCCCATGACAGCCCTTGGAGCATGCCATAACTCTTTGTTCAATCTTGGAAATGGCTCCACAATTAAAGTTCTGAAACCAGAGCAAGTAAGGTGTAATTACTTTAGTGTTATCTTGAGTATAAAATAAAAGAGCTTTCTGAAAAGACATTTCTAATGTGTGTCCTTAGAACTCTGAAACTTCCGGTTACTGACTGTATCTGCCAAGGTTCAGAGTAGGAAACCAACCATTCTGAGTGTTTTGAAAAGAAGGGAATTTGGGAGCTTATACATATTGTTAAAATGCTGGAGAAGTAGAAGCAGGTCCTGCTTCTGGCTTTCTGTTCCAAGCTCACACCTCCTTAGCTGCAGTTGGCATTCAGGAAATTCCTGCTTCAGCTGCAAGCACAGTTCCTGCTACTCTGTCTCAGTTCCTAAAAAATGGTGACTAGACAATGAACTACTGAGTTCAGCCTCCACACTCATGCTGTAAGGATGCTTATCAGCATTCACTGCCACCCTTGAGCCTTCCAAATTTCTCCGGAGTGAATCACATTGGCAGAACCTCAGGCACACTCAGAACTTGTCTGCAGGACTCCTGGGAAGTGTGTTTAGTATAGGATTGGACACTGAGCCAGAAGACAGCATCTAACATGTAAGTAGATCAGTGAGTGACTTATCAAGAGGACACATTTTCCAGGCTTGGCAGAGAGAAGAGTGTCTCCCCTGGCTGGTGGCCTTCAATTCTCCCATTAGAGACTGGGCTCCTGGATCCCAGCCTTACCCAGCCTTCTCTGCCTCCATGGTATTCTTATTGTCCCTTACATGTTCATCTCCAACATTCAAAAGGGAAGTGATTTAGGGGAACAAAGGACTCACATTGGATCCCACAAGTGTAGCTCGTGTTCCTGAGGTAACTTTGTGCATCTGTAAAGCAGTGGGGTCTCCTGCCACCAGCCCAGAATACAGTCATACACAAATCCTGCCTGTAGTCTCTAGGACTTTACTCCTTTCATTGTGGTTCATTTTACTGTTCTTCTTTTCATTACCAGGTCAAGCCACATTCCTCAGTAGAGTGGGGACTCTGGAACCAGACTATTGTTGTTGTTAGATGCCGTCAAGTCAGCTTCAACTCACAGCACCCCTGTGCACAACAGAAACCACACTGCCCCGTCCTGCACTATCCTCACAGTTGTTATGTTTGAGCTCATTATTGCAGCCACTGTGACAATCCATCTTGCTGGGGGTCTGCTCTGTTTCTCTGACCCCTCCACTTTACCAAGGATAATGTCCTTTTCCAGGGACTTGTCTCTCCTGATAACATGGCCAGAGTACATGAGAATGAAGTCATCTGCCCTTCTAAGGAGTATTCTGGTTGTATTTCTTCCAGGATATGTTTGTTTGTTCTTCTGCCAGACTATGGTACTTTGAATATTTTTTTGCCAGTATCACAATTCAATTGCATCAGTTCTTTTCTGGTCTTCCTTATTTCATTGTCCAATTTTTACATTATATGAAGCAGTTGAAAGCACTATGGCTTGGGCCAGGCCCATCTTAGGTCTCATAGTGACATCTTTGCTCTTTAACGCTTTCAATAGGTCTTTTGCAGCAGTTTGCCCAATGTAGTAATACATCATTTGATTTCTTGACTGCTTCTTCCAGGAGTATTGATTGTGGGTCAAAGTAAAATGAAGTCCTTGACAACTTCAATCTTTTCTCCATTTATCATGATGTTGTTTATTGGTCCGGTTATGAGGATTTTTGTTTTCTTTATGTTGAGGTGTAATCCATATCGTAGGTTGTTAATGAACTGCCCTCTAATACTGATGCAGTGTTCTTCATATAATCCAGCTTCTTGGATTATTTGCTCAGCATACATATTGAACAAGTATGGTGAAGGGTTACAACCCTGATGCAAGCTTTCCTGATTTTAAACCACACAGTATCTCCTTGTTCTATTCTTATGACTGCCCCTTGGTCTATATATAGATGTTACATGAGCACAATTAAATGTCCTGGGGTTCCCATTCTTTGAAATGTTATCCATAGTTTGTTATGATGCACACAGTAGAATGTCTTTGCATAGTCAATAAGCACAAGTAAACATTGTCATCTAGTTGGTTCTGACTCATAGTCACCCTTTAGGACAAAGTAGACTTGCCCTGTAAGGTTTCCAAGGTGTGAACTTGCTGAAAGCAGTCTGCCATATCATTCTCTCTTGGAACCACTCTGTCTGAGTTCAAATCCTGGCTTTATTGTTTGAGCAAATGAGTATTGTCTTGCTTTCTAAATGGGGATGATAAATCATTCTAATATAATGGTGCACCAGACTGCAAAGTCGTTTGAACTGCAAGGTCATTTGAACTGCAAGGTTGGTGGTTCAAGCTCACCAGCTGCTTCTCAAAAACCCTATACAGGGTCGCTATGGGTTGGAACCGACTCAACAGCACTTCACAACAACAACAACAACTCCTCTCTTAAGAGTCCTAGTATGGCACCAAATGCACCAGTTGTTCCTCAGAAACCATATATAGTGTTGCTCTGAGTAGTAAATGACTCAACAGCACTTAACAATAACTCCTCACTTATTGACAACAGGTTTCCCCTGCTCTCTGAAAGTAAAGTGTTCTCTTGAAACCTTTCTTCAGCAGATTACAGTGTAAAGCAAAGATACAATTACTATTAATTTGTATGGGAAACATCATTGAGCATTCCTAGACCCCAAAAATAACTTAGCAAATCATACCAAATAACATGTAAAACCTAAAATCACACAAACAGATAGTGTTCACAGACTCTGCTCTAAGCTAGGGTAGCTTGATGCTGAGTGTAATTTCCAAGCTTGTTGATGCCACTCCAGCGGCTCTGCCTCCTTAGTGACTTGTTACAAAGTAAACATTGAACACTAGTTTTGCTTTTCAGCTTTTTACATAAAAGCTAAAGTCCCCTTTGGCTTTCTCTCAGTTAGTGAAAACAGGCACTGATAAAGGTCTTTGATAAAAGTGAAGTGGTGTAAATGGAGCTTTAAAAAAGCAGAAGACACCTTGTCTTGTTATTTGACATTTTGTATTTACAAAAATAGTAAAAATATACTATATGACTACTTTGTGCATTAATGAAATCCAGATCCAGCAGGGAAGAGTAGTGCAAGTCTTGCCAGTATGTTCATTATAGTGGGACTAGGCCACACCCCCAAGGAAACATCCTTTTAATTGATTGGCTGGTCATAGCCAATCATCTTAGAAGTAACAATCAACTGTCAAACAACTGGGAATCCTGGCTCAATCAAGTTGACCCGGAATCTAACTATCACAGGTCACAACTCAAACATGAGAAGAAACAGCTGCAAACATTCATTGATAATCAAAACATAGCATATTCATTCCTATATGAATCTAGAAAAATTGGAAGCCATCAAAAGTGAAATGGAATGAATAAAGATCAATGTTCTAGGCATTAGTGAGCTGAAATGGACTGGTATTGACCATTTTGAATCAGGCAATGATATGGCTTACTTTGCCAGGAATAACAAATGAACGAGAAATGGCATCACATTCATCATCAAAAGAGCATTTCAAAATCTATCTTGAAGTACAGTGGTGTCTGTAATAGCATATCTATATGCCTACACGAAAGACCAATTAATATCACTATGATTCAGGTTTATCCACCAACCATTAAAGGCAATGATGATGAAATTAAAGAATTCTACCAACTTCTTCTGTCTGAAATTGATCAAGCATGCAATCAAGATGCATTGATAGTTACTGGTGGTTGAAATGTAAAAGTTGGAAACAAAGAGGAAGGATCAGCAGTTGAAAATAGACCTTGGTGATTGAAACAGTTGTGGAGATTACATGATAGAATTTTGCAAGGTATTCATTGCAAATACCTTTTTCAACAACATAAATGATAGCTATAAATAGACCTCACCATGTGAATTATGCAGGAATCAAATTGACTACATCTGTGGGAAGAGACTGTGGAGAAGCTGAATAACATCAGCCCCAACAAGTCCAGGGGCTATCTGAAAAATGGACCATCAATTGCTCATATGCAAATTCAGGCTGAAGTTGAAGAAATTTAAGGCAAGTCCATGAGAGCCAAAATATAACTTTGAACGTATCCCACCTGAATTTAGAGACCATCTAAAGAACAGATTTGATGCATTAGACACTACTTGTGCTTTATTGACTATGCAAAGGCATTTAACTGTGTGGATTAAAACAAACTATGGATAATTTTTCGAGGAATGGGTATTGTAGAACACATAATTGGGCTCATAAGGAACCTGTACATAAACCAAGAAGGCAGTCTTTCAAACAGGACAAGGGGATAGTATATGGTTTGAAATCAGGAAAGGCACCTATCAGTGTTATAATCCTTTCATCAAAAACCAGAGAGTTGTGGGGTGATGCCAAG